AGCTAATGCTTCCACAAGTTGAAGGCAGCGCATCGTATCGCCCTGCATCGTGCTGACCATTTGGTGACATCACATGCAGAGAAACCCGTCTGAATCTACGGCATCAGCTTCTTGTCGGCATCCGGCTACGGAGCACACGCCGATCCTGGGTCCCGTCCTCTGCCTCTCTCCTCCCCCGGGTTAATCCTCCTACGCTAGTGGGGGGAGACACTCGTCTCGCTACCCGACCTCTGGAGCGGGGGGGGGGATTTTGAGATCAAGGTTTAACACCTGCCGGAAAGGTCTGGGCCCGCTGTGCCGGGAGCGGCGGGAGCCGAGAAAAACGATAAGCGTGGCGGTGGGGAGTTCTGCGAGCGCTGAGATAATCTCGCCCTGACGTGCGTCCCGATGTCATGACGATGGCTCCCCCGTCGTTTGCCATTGCCAGCTGAACTAGGAAGAGGTTTTGTGGCGCTGTGTCACAAGACTCAGAAGACACACCGGGTGTGACGGCGGTGGGCCACCAGGTCCGGGGACGCCATTGTCCCAGCAAACACAGACAGTCACGGGAGCCCAGACTTTCAGCGGTGTGACCGCAGCGACATGTGATCCTCGTGGGGTCTGGGGGAGGGACTTATCTAGTCAGGTCATCGAGGGCACCCGGGAGACAGACCAAGGGACAATTACAGACGGGAAGGTGGGGGCGCATGAAGGTGAGCTACCAGGAACAACATTATTTGGCCCAGGACTTCCCACCACCACCCACCTCCCCCCCAAACAGGAAGCTGAAGCCTGGCAGGAAGTCGCTGTGATGTCTAGCAGGACATCAAAAAATGGCCGGATTTGGCCGACTTCACATTTTTACTTGCATCAAAGTTTTGCTGTTTTATTTTTCCCTTTTCAATGTCAGACAGCCTCATATACAGATCCAGGATGGGTGGGGCAGGGGGCGGGGTGAGTCGTGGGTGGGGGGCGGGGGCACTTCCAGCTCTCCTCATATGTCTTTTCAGACGCCCGGGTGAGCATCTGCCTTGCCTGCACCTTCACAAAAAACAAAGTCATTGCCACTTAAGAAAAAATATGAGATTTTACCAAGGACCAAAGGATGGGGGAAGGTGTGGCATTTAATTGAACCACATGGCATTACTTACCCTAATGTAACCCCGCTCAACCCAACTCCTCCCCTGACAAGAGCCGGCAATGTGATCAGGTGCATTTGGTGTAATTACGGCGCCGGCCACAGCTCATACGGATGCATGTAATCTCGGCTCCATTTTCTTTTCATTTTGCTTCGTGCTTAAAAGCCTGATGGCGAAGCGGGCAGGTTCTGCAGCCTCAGCGTTACCAATTCACCCTATTATTTCCGATCACATTATGTTGTTGTCTCTTCACAAAGGCGAGGGGGTATCGTGGGCCCAGCTACATTGCCCAGGGGACCTGGTCTGGTGCCCCGGCACTGCGAAGGACAAACTCTTACCTGGTCACTGTTGCCAAAACCCTGAGTAAGTCTGAGGAGTACCAGAATGTGTAAAACTCTGTCATACTGTACCAAATTGTACCAAACCATAAAATACTGCACCATACCATATCAAAATGCACTAAATTCCTTACCAAACCAGACAGACATTACATTCTCTCTCCGTCCAGGCAAAAGGCTAGTCTCTATTATGTTAGAGCAGCTTGAGGATCATGGGGAGTCTGCTCTGATCCAGAGGAGGAGTTGAGGAGGCTCGGCACGAGGGTACTGGGGGGGGGGGGCTGCCATAGCGGATAATGGATCACAGCCTTCTGAGCAGGCAGCTACTGGGGAGACACGGCTGAAGGCTGGGGCAGGGAGTCTGTAATGGCGGGGGCTTAAGTGGCAGAATGCTTTACTCGTGCACCTCGATCCCTTGGCGTGACCGGTAATTTGCTCCCGCCGGCGCGGCCATTACGGTAACCTGCGAGGCTTTCTCTCCCCGGAGAGCCGGACATTAAGCTGCGGCGGTCACTCCAGCGGGCCCCATTAGCGAGGCGGGGCCCCGTGTGCCACCGCCGTGTGGGACCAGGCCTGTCATTAGGCAGGAAGGACGCCCACCTGTGGCATGCTGGGATGGGACACTCCATCAGCCCCGCACCCCCTCTCGCGTTGTCGCTCTATCATTCCCCCTCTCTTCTTCACCCACTCCTGAATGCCCTGTCTGTCTTCTTTCCCTCTCTCCATCATCCCCTTTCTCCTTTTTCCACTCCTTCCATTACCCCCTTTCTCTTTCTTCCCCTCACTCCTTCATCTCTCATCATCCCCCTCTCCATCTTTCCCTCCCTCCATCATCTCTTTTCTTTTTTCTGCTCCCTCCATCACCCCCTTTCTCTTTCTTCCCCTCTCTCCATGGTCCCCCTCACTAGTTCATCTCTCTCATCATCCCCCTCTCCTTCTTCCCCTCAGTCCATCATCACCCTTTCTCATTCTTCCCCTCACTCCATAATCCTCCTCTCCTTCTTCCTGTCACTCCATCACCACCTTCTTCCTCCTTCTTCCGCTCACTGTATCATCCTCCACACTCTCCATCATTCCCCTTTCCCTCTCTTCTCTCCCACTTTTCCTCCCTCTCTCCACCTTGTATCTTCTCCTCCACTCGCCCATTTCTTTTTCTTCCTTCCCACTGTATCCTGTTCCTCACTGTTCCTCGCTCTTTTTTTCCTCCTATCCATCACCCATGGACTCACAACAAATGTATTAAAAGCCAATTTTTTATTATAGTTTAAAGGTACTATAACAATGTATGGTTCTGTGAACCACCTCATAAAAGCAAGATAAGATAATTTCCAGGAGTTTATTAAATCCTGGTATTATGATGATCGTGAAAACACTAGATAATGAAGAAACAAAAGCACGTAATACAATTAAAAACATAATAATACTGAAAATATTTCAGTTGCACACTAAAAAGCTCAGGGCGTGCATTCCCAGGCTCTTAGAAACCATGTTTCCCGTTGTCAACGGCGATGGCGTTATCAATTAGTGCAGCAGTAGGAGCCCAATTAACATCATCAAACAGGTGATTAACAGAGCAATGTGGGTAGAAAGAGCAAAACAGCTCCCCCCACCCCCCCGGCTGCCTTCGTTTAGCCATTTAACAGAATTAAAAATACAGGCCAGAAATGGGCCCATATTCTCCAATATATAAACAATATATAAATCACACAATATACACCACACTGCAGTGCAGATAACACACACACACACACACATACAAACACAAGCAGACACTCCAATACACTCCAAGCATTTTTTTCTTTGTTGTTGATATTTTCTTATCCGGGGCAATTTTCATAATTTGCAAATTTTATCTAATGAACATCTGGATAATTAGCTGAAGCAATTTGGATTAAGGGTGGTGCTGTGGGGCAGAAGCCCTTAGGGGATCCGAACCCGCAGCCTTTGCATCTCACTACTGCCACGGGGGCCTGACATCCGAGTCTGTGGCTCGAGGGCTGTCCCGAAATATGCCTGACTGCGCGTTCACCATTCAATAGGGCATCGTTTTACGCCAGCGATGGAGAGCGAAGGGTCAGTACAGATCCATAGCACGTAAGCCGACATGAATTTTCTATTTGCGAGTGCCGCATCTTCATAAAATAAAGTATCACTCCTGTCTCCAGCAGAGATGCCCGTTCCCCTCCTGGTTTTAAATACATGATTGGTGTTTGCAGCCTCCCGTGGAGACATTTTCTGCCATGGTTCCTCAATATTGCAAATTGTCGCTTGACAAACTTCTCTCGCTCCAGCGTCATCTGCCATTTGTGGGAAACAACAGGAGTCCTCTCTGTCAGGAAGGGAACGGAAGCGTGCAGTTGACACCCCCCCCCCCCCCCCCAGCCAAAACCAAGGCGCTCTAATCAGTGGTTCTAACCAAGGTGCTAATTAAAACCAATTTTCCCCTCTCTGTTTGCTGTACCAAACAACAGTCATTTGTGGCTTGCGATTGCCGAAGAGAGCAAGATGCTGGTTTGTGGCGTTTCTAGCGACCGGCCGTATGTATCGAGTGCGAATGACCTTGAATTCACGGTTCGGCTCGTTTAAAAATCGTAAGCTAATAGCTACATTAAAAGGTTCCGGCGCAGGGGCAGCCTCTGTGACAACTGTACATTCTAAGGTACAGTCTTGCGGGTCCTCCGGGTAATTTAATCACACCACCTAACTGACCTTCAGAGGAGCGGCCCGGAGGGCGAGCCACTTGTTGCTGGACATCACAGGAAGTGGCTCGTTAACCAATCACGGGGCCTCGAGGGGGCGAAAGGGTGGATGAAGGTCAGGCTGTTGCTCAGGCGACCAGATGAAGCTGAGAGGACTTGGCGGTACCGACCTGCTGTTCAGAGCTAATAATTTATGGACACTGATTATCTGAACGGGTGGTTAAAAGGTTTATTCATATCCCTCAAGCTACCTACAAAACTAAAACATGGATGATGGGCAAAAAAAACAAGAATAATGAATCAATTCTGCACGCAAACTTTTATAAATACTAAGGGTCTGTCGAGATGATTATTGTTGCTTCATACTTACTGTAGAAGAAGGAGTAATTGAGGAAAATCACCGATGACAGTTTTCAAAAAATAGAGACGTGGTAAACAAACTGAGAACATTCACTAATTCCGAATGGATTAACCCTCTGAGGGTGATGGACTCACCTTCTCCGCAAACGAGAAGACAAACAAAGCTGACCTTGCACCTAAAAAAGGAACAAACGAAAGCAACCCCCCCTCCTCCCCCCCCCCATGTGCTGAAAGCTCTTGGCTGCCCAGTGTTTACGAGCGACCCTGACACTGATGTAAAGGACTGGGAATTAGCGTGGGAAGCTCAAGTGTGGGCATCTGATGCTAACTGGCAGCTGCAGGTTTGTCATGTGACCCCAGTCACTGCACCCCAAGATTCCGCGGTGACACGCTGGTGTCGTGGCACAGGTTCGACACCAAGTGACCTCATGGCTGCTAAATCTGGTGTCAGCAGAATCGGGTAAAGGGGTCTTTCGATGTTGCAGAGTGTGGCCGTCCGATTACACCCGGCATGGCAGCCCCCGGCCGGAGATGGATCATCTGTTCCCTGGGATACGGCTGTTTCCATGGCAGAACCGCGACTGGTGAGAATTCCGGCTCTGTATTCATTTACTGTCTGTCTCTCTGAGGTTGATGTTGGTGAGACTGAGGAAGGCTGGGAGTATCAATAGGTGGCAGGGTTCAAGAATGGAGGGGGGGGGGGGACAGGTCTCTGTACCTGACTGGACTTACCTGCTCCCCCCCCAAAAGCCCCCACTGTCCCACTGCTGGGACACAGGAATAGTGATCCTCAGCCCCCACCCCTCGCACCCCCCCACGATAAAGCCCAAAACTGCCATTAATGATTTTCTCTGATGGTACGGTACTGATTTAAACTGAAACCCTGAGTCATGTTGCCGTAAAACTGCCATCCGCCTTTGACAGTAACTTTGCAGAGGTAGACACGCTCAAACCATTAAACCTGGGGGGGGGGCAACACTGAGAAGACCCTCAACATTCAGGTCGGGGGTACGGTCTGAGAAAGTGAGCTTTTGGCTCGCGTCAGGTTGGCTGTCCCACGGCCTCCCCTCTCTGTCCCCACCCCGCACCTCTAACCTCAGCTGTCAGTCCCGTGCGGGGCCCCGAGAGCAGGACTGCACCCCTAAACAGATAATGCTCTGGCAGCGCCCTCCTGCATCTTGACACAGCGCAGTGAGCCTAATCGCACATAATTGGGTGGGAGGGGCAGGGGGCCGGCCGAGGCTTTGTGCGCAAAGGGCAAGTGGTCAAGTTAATGGGGCCCTTGTGCTGAACGGGGAGAGCTCTCTCTCTCTCTCTCTCTTGCTCTTGGCCTAGAGAGGAGGAGAAAACAAGCCTGTTTAAAATATCAAAAGGGGGAGCTGGATGATCACCCCCACCCAGCCCTGTCCCAGAAACCCAAGGGAATTAGACATGGCAGAACCTCTACTCTTCTTTTCTTCTATTCAAAAAGTGGAATAGCAGAATCTGAGACGGGATGAGCTGGGCCCTCAGCCTCACCCCAGGCCAGTGACTCTTTTTCTGGTGCTGGAAAATATAGACTGAGGACTGAGGCCTACAGCGTACTGGCCTTCTAACTGGGTTCAGCCTCTTTTCCTGGGTGCAAAAAAAGTAGGGTGCTCCTGTAGCCCTTAGCCTGAGGCTAACACACAGTCATCCTTGGCCTGTTCTGCCTCTTCTTTAAAGGTGTAGCAAATCCACCTTCATTAGAGGGCTCCCATCTTTCTTTCACTGCGAATTTAGTCCTGCAAATAGTGGTGTAACCTCTCTAATCTGCTTAAGCACCCTGAAAAAAGGAAATATTCACCTCAAATAACGTAAGAGACAGAATTTTAATCACCATAACACCATAATTAAAGATTAAAAAGAAACATATAAGAAGTTAAAACTATAAGGAAACGGGTCTTAAGAAACACTCTTAGGAGATGAGAGTAATACCACAATAGTGTTTTAATTCACAGTCATTGGATTCACCTGACGGGTCCGAGGAGACCGGCAGCCAACGTCATCGAGTCTTACACAGTGCAGAAGAAGCGAGAAGTAGAACATCAAGCCGCAGAGCGGCACCGTAAACACGTCTCGGTGCCAGAGCTCATCTGGTTTGCCCCGGCCGGTACACAGAGCGTAACACTGAGGGCCCGGTGACCCGAGGGCCCTGCTACAACCACAGCCGCCCTCCTGGCTGTTTTCGGTTTTGCACGTCGCACATTTTCCATCGCGCCACCACGGGGCCCTTGTTCGACCGCGGTGTGACCGTGGCACAATCACGGCGCCTGCAGCTGGTGACCCCCTTCAGTTCGGTAATTACACAGTGAGGGGAAAAACATTGCGAGGTGTCTCATCCGGTATTCTTCACCAAAAATTTGCACCTAGATAATAAAACTGAACATGTACATTTATAGTGGAAAAACAGGTTATTATTAGGATTGAAATTTGAGAGAAACAAAAAGAAATATATGATCAGACTAAAATATAAGAAAAAGAAATCAAAATTTTATTTCATGTATTTCTGAGAAAATACTGGTGCAGTTTACAGTGGTGCAAAGGCTGGATAAAAGTGACCCCAAAATGATTTTAAAAAGCAAAAATCGTACATCCGTTAATACAGTGATATAAAATGCTGGCACAGAATGGTGTGGTGGTAAGGAGCCGATGGGGCACAGTGGCACAGACCACAGATCTGTGGGGGGCTTGCAGGAGAGAGAGGAGCACCCTGCCGCGTCAGAGGAGCCAGCCTGGGCTGGGGGCCCGCGTCAGAGTGAGCAGGAGTGGGTAATGGATGTTCTCGTCGTACGTCTCCATCCCTCTGCTCTGCATCTGAAACACAACAGTCCTTAGGGGTCAGAAGTCCGTGCCAGGGGGGCACACCAAGAAAAAGACATGAAAAGAAAGCTATTATGTTACACCATGTTTGTAACACAGTCCTGATAATGACTATAAAATAATATTAAATCAGGAAGGAAAATTACCTACATACGTTACTGGCTATAAAATAATATCTGCATAATTGTAACATAAACGCGCCTTCAGCTCCAGTTCTGCAGTGCATGATGGGTAATTAGCCCAGACAACACCCCCTAAAGGTGATGGGCTCAGTCTCTCATTTGGCTCTACTCCTACCCTGAACACCCAGTGATCATCTGCCTCTTTTTAAATCCTGTTTCAATCCTGGTTCTGCTGGCAGAAGGCTACACTGCGCGGCAGGCTGCTTCCAGGCTCAAAATTTCTAAGAACAATATGAATCAGGAGACACTGGGAACGACCAAAAACTACCCAGGTAGAGGATAGAAGCGGCTCTCGAATGCCAGACGTGACCGCCAACTTATCCAATGGTGCCTCATGAATCAGAGGATGACCTAAAGTGACCTTCAAAAAGAATGGCAAATATTAAGTGGTGTGAAGTGCACTGCTAGGACAGTTCGTATCAGACTCCCAGAAGCAGGACTGAAGACCCATAAAGCAAGGAAGAAGTCCTTCATCAATGAGAAGTAGGGAAGAGCCAGGCTGGAGTTTGCAAAAAAGAATTATATTTTACCAGATACATTCGCATAAACTGAGAAATAAGTGAAAATAAAAATGTTGCTGTGGTCTCTTAATTTTTTCCAGAGCTGTATTTAAAGTTGAAGCAGGAGTATTGTCCTTTGTTCTAAAAAGCTGGCCATTCCCCTCACCCTATTAGCTTTGCAGGGAGCAGCGGTGGACCAATCAGGATCCACTACACACCAACTCTGTGCAAGCCGGACCACTCAGGATTCACTACACACCAACTCTGTGCAAGCCGGACCACTCAGGATGCACTACACACCAAAGTTGTGCAAGCTTCCCAAAGACACACTTATCAAGGTACCCTGAAGAGCATAGAAGGGACAACGAAAGAATCGGTGAGCGAGAGAAATATTGAAAGATGGGATGCAGCTGCAACAATAAAGCAAATTATGGTTATTATAATTATAACAAATTATAATAAAAACCTAAGAAATTACAGCTGACTTGCTTATTTAATCACAAAAAAAGGGAAACGAAATTATTTCATTGCTGTTAAGTGAAGATTCATTTTGGCACTGGACCTAGTTGGACCTGTTAGCCACGGGACCTATGGGGGGGGGGGGGCGGGGGGCTCCCTAATCTGTACCAACAAACTGATGACGGCTGGCCAGTATTACCCAGTTTTATAAAGAACCGTCCCCTCTTTCCCAAGCCCTCCGATAAGACTGAATCCTGCCCCCCCCCGCCTCCACCCGCCGGCATTATCTCTTCGCCCACCCTTCCAAGTGCCGGCCCGGTGGTTGAACCTGCGACCTCCGTAATCGAAGACCAGCCAGCCCAGTGCTAAACCCATGGCCAGGCAGGCAACATTCACAGTCAAATCCCAGGGCCGAAAGCAAAACGGGGGGGGGGGAGAAACATGTGAGAAACAGCCCCCCCCCACACATACACACACACACCCGAAAAGCCAGCAGAGGTGAAAAGTTTAACAAGCAGAGCCAGTCCCCCTGGTCACAGGGACCTAATCACCGTCACGGCTGGCTGCGTAAATCAGCATTACGTTTAATCGCCACCTCGCCGACGCATAAGTCATTTACTTCATCGCTGCTTCCCAGAGCTTCTCGGAAGAAGAGCGCGTGAAGAGGCAGGCAGACGGGCCGGGCGTGGCGTGCAGAGAGAGGGAGCGAGAGGAGGACGAGGCTAGGGGGGGGGGGTTTGGGGGGGCTGGCCCGGGCAGCTGGGATAGGGGGCGGACACGGTAGGGTTAATACGCGGGGGGCAAAATTAAAATTCATGACTCTCTTCACAACCATTTGTGTAACAAGATTAAGATGGGCAGGCAGAAAATAGCTACATTATCTAGTGCCTTACACTCCTGCAGCTGCTCACGCTCTATTCCAGAACAGTGGGGATAAGAGGATAACAGGCAGGCATGGGGAACATACAAAAAATAAAAAATAAATCGCTGGCCCTGTGCAGAGGCGTGTGTTGGAGCAGTGCACTGTGTGTGTGTGGGTTTGGGGGTGGGGGGGTCTGTTTCTGCCCACAGTCCTGTCGTTTCACCCACCAGACATACAAACAATGAAACACCCCCCACTTGAAATTAGCTCCAGCTCTGTCTTGTCATATTCCCTTTTCCAGCCCGTGTTCTGTGACCTCTGACCTCACGGGCCCCCCACCCCCGACACAGCTTCTCCACAAAGCATATTTCTGACTGACCGTTCGAAGGGCCACACCGATCATCTGCACCCCAGCTACGGTTCCTGAATCTCGAGGCTAGAACCGGTGACTTTCATGATTTTAACTGCCCTGGCTGTCCCGTTGCCTGCTGGTTCCCGTAGGTCACTGGCAGAATGGTGGTGTCATTCACCTCCCTGGCCAGCAGGGTGAGAGCCACGGCCGTCCTGTACCTGGTAGAGAGTAGCGGGTCCATGCTTGCTGTCTCTGGTGCCGACCTGTTCAGCAAATCCGCGGAGTAGCGTGTTCACGGGGAGATAAGAGGATCATCTCACTCGGGCCGGATGCATGGAAGCCACTTCAGGTTTGTTTTGTGTCTCTGATTCCCAAAAGCACCCCCCCCCCCCATAAGCATGTTGGGGTGTGTCCACAGGAACATGTGTGTGCATATATGCATATATCCATATACGTGTTCTCCATATGCACCCACAGAGATATTAACTTCTAACCTAAAGTACATAAATCGTGAGCACGTTCACGCAAGACAAATACCTTTATTTACAAATTAATCAGCTTGAAAAGCTTTTCATCAACTTTTGAGTGTAGTGTGTTTGACGGCAGGGCTCGTTAATTACATAAAACTGAGAAGCGCTGCGTAATCCCCCATCAGAAATGACAGGAGCGTGTGCGTGAGCCGGGGGACAGGCTGGGTGCGTGTGCGTGAGCCGGGGGACAGGCTGGGTGCGTGTGCGTGAGCCGGGGGACAGGCTGGGTGCGTGTGCGAGTCTAAAAGAGGGGATGTGCGAGAGTTAATGAGAGGGAGATTACATGGGGTTAAATGAGCAAGGGGCTACAGGGGCACCCTGACCCCACCCCCCACACGCAACGCCCAGAGCCCCCACACCTCTGTTTAATCTCACATAAGCAGACGGAGGTGAGGGACACTTGACTCAGCTGTCCCCCCCCCCCACCGCAAAGGACATCATTATCCTCCTGTATACTGAGGCACTGTAGGTGGTCCCTACGTGGAAAAAAAAGGAGCCCACCAGACTTCAGGTATGGTGGGGGCACACAATAGAGCGGTGGGGGCCACGAAAAGTGCGCAGCGGGAGCGGATGAACGCCCACTGTGAGGTGGGGGAGGGGGGTCTGTCTAGCCCCATAAGGACACTCCCCTTTTCTTCCCCCACAAAGCGCATCATCATCGTGCGACGACGGCACACCCCTGGCCGGTGAGTAGCTGTCCACGCCGAAGCTCCACGGCCCGGCCCTGGGGTGTGCCGGGCCCCCACCTGGGGGATGCACCTGCGAAGGAGCTGTTAATTGGAGACCGAAACCCAACCTGGCTGGCTAATGGCCTCTAAGTGGCACTTTACTGTACGAGGGTCTCTAAGTGTGAGTGCTGAGCCGCGGGTATCCGGTGTCGTGGCTTTGAGTCCCTGGGCGCACAACTGAAAGCCTGGGGAGGGTGGACAAAAAGGACTTTAAAGGTCCTCTCTCTGTGGGTGTCCGCAGGGGGTGCGACCCCACAGGGCTCCACATCGGCACATTCATTCTGCTCTTTATCACGCTGGGGGCGTTACGTCGAGCCACCCGCCTTCCAGTACCTCCCCTCCGAGAGACTGGACCCGACTGGAAACCCTCCAGATGGAGCTTGGTCTGTCAGTGGTACAGTGTGTGAGAGCAGGATCATCCCATGGGAGAGAGTGGGCGTCAAGGTCAGAAAGCCCCCATGTCCGGCATTTAAGGGGGGTCAGAGCCCCCCCGACTCAGCCGGCGTCCGCTCCGTCAGCTGCCACTTCCTCCGAGGGGCAAATAATTCGGGAAAATTGCGCTGGCGGGAAACCAGTTAATTGTGTAAATGATTAGACAATGCGACAATGCGGGCCCGCTCAAGCACCTCTCCACATGAAGGCCTCGCCTGATTGCACCTGTGGTTGCCGCTGGCAACCGGCGAGCCGGCGTGCGCACACCTGTCTGCGGCCCGAATGCGGACCTGGTGCCCGGCTCACTTCGCGATAGGAATGGAACACGTATCCGTACCGAAAATCTTCGGTATACATATGTACTGAATGAATGCAGAAAATGCAGAGAATATTTATTTACCTACTTTACTTTTTTGTTAGTAGGTTTCAGCAGTATTGAGTATTGACTTTTTATTTAAGAAAGACAGTCATACTTTGTTCAGTAAACCACTGTTTAATAAAGAAAAAAAAAGCAATTTATGTTTTATTTGTATTACCCCCACTGTACCAAAAATGGACTGAACCTTGACTTCAAAACTGAGGTACATACTGAACCATGATTTTTGTGCACCCTTACACCCCTAGTTCACCCCCCCCCCCATGACTGCTGCTCCTGCATGTGGCCCTTAAAGTCAATGGCCTTGAGGAGCCAGGGAACCCAGGCCCAGGTGGGGAGGGAACTGGGGCCAGGGTGTGTTTGGCAGTGTGCAGGTGTAGGGTACAGGTGCAGTGTGCAGGTGTACAGCCATACTCAGGTGGGGGGGGGCACCTACCTTCTGGTGAAGGTCCCATACCAGCTCATCGTACTTCTCGTATCTGCCCACGGTGAAGCCGGCATCTTCTGCCAGGCCACAGAAGACGTCCAGGGTCCCACCGCGGAGGGGTGCAAACACGAGGGCTGTGCCCTGGGGGGGAGGGGGCAGATGGAGGGCAGGGTGAGGATCGGCACTGTGTGACCAGAGAGGGCATCCCTCTGTGACTTTAACGGCTCGTTTCATTGCCCCGGAGCTTCAGCGGAAATGGCGGTTCCGTTTAGGCGGTAATGACGCGGCGTCCTCCA